TTTTTTCATCCAGATCCAAACTAGACAACATTTCCCTTATGAAATAGAATCTTCAAGAAAAAACTAAATTCTCTGCTTGCTTTTCTACTTGTAAACATCCATTGTCTTCAGTAGGGGTACCCTCCACTGCTATTGCATTGCATGAGTTGTACCCAAGCCTCCAGTAGGCTCAGTGAACCTCTTCTGACTTGTATTATTTGAAACTGGGGGTTTTGTGCATGAATGGAACATATATTATTTCTTTAATAACACAGAAATAAATTATCCTTGATTCTCATTTTACCTGATCTACTTGATTTCATTTTCTCAGTCTGTTTCCCTGCCATTCTGGCATGGTCTCAGAGACCCATGAATTATTTTGGCTTCAGGGAGGAATAAGAGTGCCATTGGTAAGAAATACCCACTATCTTTTGAATTTATGTGTTTAAACCCACACATACATGCTTTGTAGCTCAGGCTGATAAAAATTAGAAATTTAATGTACACTAAAATGAGGAATTTTGATAGCCATGAAAAATAGAATTATGTGTTGAAATTAAAGGGCTTTTCAGATCAAATTTGAGGCACTAAGAGGGAAGTTTAGCTATAGTCTTGAACAGCTTATAGGATGTGGTAAAGCATTTTATATTTTTGGAAGGAAATGTGCATAACAGCATATCTGGTTTCTGAGAGAGATTTTCCAGGAGTAAAATTGCATAAGTGCAATTAAAGCTGAGAGATGGACAGCTATACTGGAGACCACAGTAAATGCTATTTTAAGGCACCAGTCAATGTCAAAGAGTTTATAAGCATCATTTGTCAGAAATAATGATAAGGAAACATCTAAATTGCTATGGGAAACTCCCAGTACTCTTCAAATTTCATCTCATTCCAATTTCTCAACCTGGATCTGGTTCAAGACTTCAAAGCTCCTGTGTCAAAGGACATGAGCTGGGACCTGGGGCAGATAGCAAGATCTAGAGCCAACCTTCTGAAGCACTGAGCTCCCAGGAATCCATGTTAAATCAGCTTTCACAGAGCCAGCCCCCACCCCAGTCATCTCCCTCTGCTCACTTTTTAATGGGAGTTTAGGAGTCAAAGCTTTGGATTCTCTGCTTATTTTTACCCTCATGTTCTTGCTTATTGATTTCCTCAGAACAGGTCAAATCCCATCTCATCTACGTCAGCCCACTTAAAATTTCCTTTGCAGGTTGGACAAAACTGAGCTTCCAGTCTATAGGCAAGAGCAAGCTGGAAGAAAGGACAGAGCTGGGACACCCCTTGAAGGTAGAGCTCAGGGGAGCAGAGCCTGGTGTTCCTGATGCTGCCAGGGCATGCACCAACAACTTGTGCCTTTGCTCTCACTGTGTTAGCTGCTACCTCCCCACAGTCCCACATCCTTTCTCAGCAGCAGGAACAGCCAGTCTGCTTCCAGGCTTGGAAGGGTAGAAAGCAAGCAATAGGGCCCTGACTAGTTTTGCAAGGCCAAGCACCTGGCTGCCCTGGAAACTTCATTGTTTTGCTTGTGCTTGATCTGGTTCTCTTTGGACACAAGAAGTGGATGAAGTACAGAACTTGGCCTTTATTGCCCCAGTTACTCAGCTGTGGATCAACATTACCTAGTGTAAGTTTTCAGCCCAGTTCCTGTGCCACAACAACCCAGCCAGGACCAAGTTGTTCCTAACATCTGAGATCAAACACCAAAAATCACTAGTTAGAAACACTGAAAATCTGTACTTTTTTTGGTTTGTTTTGTTCCTTGAGTATTTCAATAAGAATCCTAGAAAAGGCCTCACACTGCCACGTAAGCCAGATTGATGTGTACCTCAAAAGCTTTCTCAGGAAGGCAGCACTAGACAGCCATTGCAGTGGGGCTATTTTCATTGAAAATAATCCCCTCTTTTTGAGAAGAGATCTGAATGTTACCTAGAAAAGAAAACTGGAAGAAGATTGCCAGCCTTTGCCTTTCTCTTATTTTTTTTTTAATATTCCTTTTTTCTGGAGTGCCTATTTAGCAAATTTCTTTGCATAATTCTTTGCAAACAGACTTCAATTTTCATTTGCTTGCACCAACGATGGAAAACAGCAGATGGATGGTGGGGACTGCAGTCGCCTGGTGATCATCGCGTGAACCACCAGAGGTCAGGCTGAAACTCCTGATGGTTTGTCATGCTGAGCAGTTTAACTCGGACCCACTTCTGTCCTTGCCACACAAAGTACAAAGGCTGACAGGACATTTACTACATTCCTTTTGTTGCTGTGAGACTGCAGTCTTCGAGAGTATTTTCTAGCTCTTAGTGTTATACACACAGTTAAACACAGTGGGTTTGCCTCACGCTTTTGGGGAGCTGATGGGAGTGTCATAAGTGGTTTGAAGACTTTCCTGATAATTAGCCTGGAATTACCCTTTTTTTTTTTTTTTTTTCATCCCATCACTCATGTCCTGCTTCTCTTGTGACATCTCAGGTATGATCATACCAAATAGTATTTTTTTGAAGGGGAAGAATATGGCTTGCACGAAGTAACTTGTCCAAGTTACATGTGGCTAACATGTCGACAAAGTGGCCTATTTTCACAGCACTAATGACCCTTCTTAAACATGTGCTTTTCAGTGTGAGCATATGGAGAGGTTGGGAGTTTGCTCCTGTAGCAACTGTGAATGCCTAGATGATGAAGTGAGAAATGCAGCCCCCAACAGTGCAAGCAATAAAGGGTTATAAATTCTGAGCCTCTTTGAACAAGCTCACTTGTCCCTCAGCTTTCTACTCTCCTCTGGGCTATGTGGTGGAAATGGCAGTATTGCTGTTGCAAAGAACCAGGGACCATCCCACTTGTAGCACACAGACTGGATCTAGCCTACAGGAAAATTTGTACCTTGCACTGGGATAGTTGAGGTGGAACAGTGTAGGAAGTCTTAACAGCTATTGAATACCTTTTAGTTCCTTTGACTTCTGGTTGCCTTGGACCATTAGACACTTCCATGTTGTCATGGAAGGAGGAAGTTGCCACGACAGGAATCTGGCCTGTGGTGGTAGGAAAGCTGGCCAATATACCAAGTGACCTCAGCACCTCTGTCTAGTGGGAGCACCACCATGTTTTAATATCGCAGGGATGCTGAGCAGAGGGAGGTGAGGGGCTGAAACTTGTGCCAGGTGGGTCAAAACCCATTTTTGTGAGAACAATGGACAAAGGCACACAACAGATGTAGCACAGGAAATAAAACCTACAGCAGCACAAGTCAGAAGCTTGTCCACTATTGAGGTTAGAGTTTAAGCAGCAAAATGCTGCCTGTGGCTGTGGTCGTAAGCTTGGATCATGTGCTCAGAGTTCATAGACATAAGATGGATAGAGGAAAACTGGCAGCAGGACAGACTTTTCTTCTGCCATATTAGGTCAGCATGTTTCATACGACTACAAGGGGTGCCTGAGGAGTAATAGGATAGTTCATACAGTCAGCCTGCTTGGTCTTTAGTTGCCCAGATGACTGGTAGTTAAAACAACTAGTGCTATTGAGAGCTGCTTGTAACTGTCCTGGATGAGTTCAGCTCTGGTAGGAACTGAAATTATAAAGTTACATCACACAGTCTGCAAATGGATGACCTGCAGTGGATGAGAGCCAGTAATTTGGAGGTGATTAATTTGATAGTCCTTCTACCAGTCATGGATCTTGGGCATAGTAATCTAAAGTAGTAGTGTGGGCTATGTCAATACGTTGGTTGTCTCATCTTGTGACTTGATGTCAGCCAGGAGGCAGTAGGAGTGCTAATGGCTAAATTCTGACTTTCTCAGTACCAAACTTGCAAAGAACCATGATACCTAACCTTCAGATGCTCCCCATACAAGCTAGACCACAGAAACCAGCTGGAGTCCCATCCACTCTGTGTTGTCATGAGACCACCTCATTAGCCTTGTGACCTGTTAAACACAATCCTGTCAAACTTTGTTCTCCAGTCTGCCGTTATTTAGATACTAACTAAACCAACTCCCACTAGCTCCCTTGGGGATCATTAAATCTCTCTGCATTTATGCTGTGGCAGCAAAAGTTTAAGCTTGGATTGTAATCATAAAGAAATTAACTTAATGATTAAAAATAGTCCTTTAAGCAACATGCATTTGAATAATCCATCATAAAAACAAATGAGTCTATAACAGTGCTCTTGACTTGATAATCTTTCTTCTGCTTTAAATTTACATCAGTTGCACTTTTTTCCTCTCAATCTGTAGCCCATAGAAAAATACAATGAATTACTAAAAAGAAAGCAATGGCTTGAACTACAGTAGCCATGGTGTGGAATATGTATTTTAGATCTGTTACTACAAGATAGATTTGTATGTCATGGACCTTATTTTTTTGCTAAGATACCCTCCAGGCAATTCCAGCAACATTAACTGTGTTACAGAAAGGGTAAGTTAATGCAGAAAATTTGGTTTCTCATATTTGCAAAGTGTTTTGAAGATAAAATACCTGTATATACCAGGGCTGATCCAGTTCTTATTGAAATCTGTAGCTAAGGTCCTGTTTAATTCAACAAGAGCCATTGGATCAGTCTGATGAGTGCAGGAGAGATATGTTTGCAAGTAAACATTTAGAAATAAAGATAGTTCTGTCATTTTAAATACTGCATACCTCTCCCTATCTGTAAGTGCAAAGCAGACGATTAGCAGTTCACAATAGGCGCCCACTTTTAGATGAATTCCTCAGTTTGTAGCTGTACTGGTTGTGTGATGAACACAAAAAGTTAAGAGAAGATTTATGCGACTGGAGAAAGATGCAAAAAGACACCTCTAACTTATATGAAAATATGTGACACTGTTCCTGAAACTGAAGAAAAGCAAATTTAAATATCCTTTCTTCATCATTTTCGCCCATTACAATTCTACTTTCCTAGATGTCTGTACAGTCCACAATAATTCACATCTTTCATGCCCAGCCCATGCCACAAGCCCTCCATGTCTCTATTTTTAAAAAATCAGCCTTTAGCAGTACTGGTCTCAGCATTAGCAACCTGATAATTCCTCACCTTTTGGTCCAGGTAAAATTGTGTGTGTTGAGCAGACATCTGTTGTAGGTCGATTGTCAACATCAAAACCAAAAATCTGAACTTGGAAGATAAAAAGCACTACAAGGGTCCCGTATTTTCTTAGCTGTTGCTCTTTCTTGCTGCTCATCCTTGCAGCTTCTCAGGAAATGCCTTTCGTTGTTACTGTCTTAAGAAATGCAGCTGACTCAAAAATAAATGCTTCACTAACTGGAGCAGTGGAAAGATTGGGAGCTACATGCAAGAACAGCTCAATAAAGTGAAGAAAAGAGTTTGACGATGTTGTAGTTATTTCAGTCCTGTACGTTATCCAGGATATTTATTTAACACTGACAGCTGTTTATTCCAATTTATCTCTTATCTGTGAGACATGTAGCTGCATTTGCTGTGGAAAATTTCTTCAACACATGGGAATATCTCTTTTGTAATTTTTTTCCTTTCAGCACTGACTCTTCATGCCCAGCTTTTCACTTACTCAAGAGACAAAAGAGTTTGGTATTGTATCCAAGTGTGTACTAATTAGTTATAGGATACTTTTGTCTGGTTGCGTGCTGAAAGTACTGCAGACTCCATATAACATGTAGAGATTCTTTTCCTCCAAGGGGGCTGTTAGTGACAATGGACGAGCTGCCAGTTCGCTGTGGGTGGAAATCACCGGTGCTATTTCACACCCTTTGGGTGCCATGTACCCACAGTCCCCAGAGCGGCATATGAAAAGTTGATGTGATTAATGGGTATTTTAGCCCAAAACCCACAAGTGATGATTTTATGCTTATGGATAACTTCACAATGCTTACTCTAAGCCCAGATTACACTGATAGACACAGTACAGAAAGGGCACACTTCAGAACTGAAGATGCAGAACAAGATGAGCTTGAATGACTGCAGCTCCTCCTCCCATAACATTTTTTCCATGCGCTGGGAGAGGCCATGTATCGGGATGCTGGTGTAGCATATATCCAATGTTTTGTTTGGGTTGTCCAGGAAGCTGTGGCTGGTTCAAACCTGCGTGAGGCACCTACCAGGTTTTCAGTTGGCTACTGGGACTTTTTGAAAATAGGTGTAGGAGGTATCTTGGATGGAGGAACAGGTAGAGTGCATCCTTCCTTTTGAAAGGAACTGTGACAGATATCTCTCTGTGTGCAATTCCTTCCTAGAAACAACTCTAGCTTTCTCTTAAGGAGAGCACAGTAACCAGAGACAGAAGGCTGTTTGACATAGCCTGGCAGAAAAGAAAGCGGAGGTGAGTATTTGTAATATTTCCAGTAATTTTGTTAACTTCTGGTTTCTCCCACAGTGAACGAGATAGCTACTCTAAAAGCCAAACTATGCTTTTGAACTGTGTAGTGTGTGAGAGCATGTTTGCTTTCCATTCTAGGCAAAAAATGTATTCCCTATGATAATAGCTTTTCAGAGGTTTTCCTCATTACTTAAGAGAGTATTAGTTCCCTAGTCCTACAATGTTTCAGCTTTGGGCAGATAGAATAAGTAGCAGTACTGATGTAAAAGCAAATACCTCTTTGTAAAGGTTGAAGGAAGACTTCAATTTCAGGTTTTCATCTGGGATAAAATGTTGGCCTAAGTCCCAAGAGGCGTCAAGACACTCATCTCCCTCTTTCCTTCTGCACTAGTCACAGACTGTCTGCCTTTTCAAAACACTTCTCGTTTTTGTTAAAATATATACAGTACTTCAGAAATAAATAATGGTCTCTGTCCTAAGGAATGTCATCTAACTAACCCCCTCAAATGTGGCCTTGATAATGGGTACACACAGCTAGAGGGGGAGGAAAGAGAAAGCCAGGATTATAGTTGAGTAGAGTCATACTAGGAATAAACTTGTTCCTCTGTGATTTGCGTTGGGCACTGTGCCTCTGACTTGTGCACTGTAAATCTGTTTTATTTATCTTTTTCTTCCCTTCACTTTCCATTTTGTGAGCAGAAGGTCAATGTAAGAGCAAGAATAGAGAGCGTAGGAGTGGGAAGCTAGTGTACTTAGCTTTGGAGGAGGCATTTTGGGAAATGTTGCCAAATGACATGAATGATGCTATCTGTTCCACAGTACTTGAGAGACTTACAGTGACTTCTTTGTTATTTATCAGGGATAAAGAGAGGTAAGTGTAAGTGAGAGAGGAAACCATTTGTTTAGCCACTTCAGTTACTGTCCAGGACTAAGCAGGGAACATTTTTGTAATAGTGCTGTGATCATTTACAAATGTTCTCATTCCACATTAGAAAAAAATCAAGACCCTACTTTCCCACCACCACGACAATCACAAACCTTCTGAACATACAGTGAGAGATTAATGTATCTAAAAACTTGGTAGTGAAGACTCTTAAAATGTAGGAGCTCCAGATTCAGATTATTTCTCTGCCTAATTCAAACCAATGTTTGCACTAGAGCCTTAAGGTTATATTGCCTTATTACAAGGCTGTATGCTAATCAGTTATGTCTTGCTATACGTTGGACCAGAAATGCTGTCCTGGAGCTAGAAAACCTCCCTTAACAGGCAATCCATCAAAACTGATACACTAGCCTGAAAAGCTTGGGTTTTGGCAAATCAGTATTTATCAAACCAGTTTCACTGAAAAATCTTCAAGGAGTTTCATTGCTGATGGAGATTTAATGAGGCAAAGTGCCTATTGTGCATGTTAATTCTCATTGAGTCAGGCTTAAAAAATGTCTGTAGGCAAGAGAGAAAACCAAACAGTGTCCAGACATAAAAGACATAAAGCAAATACTTTGAAGGGAATGACTGTTTTACAAGAAAACTCTAAGACGACACAAAAGAATATCTTGAAAGATTCTGTTCTTTGAGATGAGCACTGGTCAGGTAACCTTTGTGTCATGCATTGCCTATTTGGAGTCCAAGTAACTTCCTTGGAAATTTGTAATTCCTTCATTTGCTTATTCTTCAGATGTTAGTAGTTAAATGTCAAAAAACTATAAGGAATACAGATATCCTGAAATAGTGTTCACCAAAAACCAGTTCTAATAATTTTTTGAGTCCCAGATCCTGTGGTTGGACTCTAGGTTAATACACTCTGCTTATAACCATGGGCTGATTCAGCCATCAGTTTTGAGAGTCTGGTGGCATCTAACCCAAACTGAGTATTAAGGAGAACTTTCCTCTTCAGTACCTTACTGCACTGAATAAATTTGGGAGCATCTGAAGGAGGAAAAAAAAATTAGAGTATTTCTCCACTTTGGGATCCTAGATGGTTTCAGTTCTCCTGGTATCAGAGGTCATGATCATTTGAGATACTTCAGTCTGTCACACCATATAGACCAATTGCAGTGGCAAAGCTTAGAGAAAATGGAAAAGGAAGAGCAGTAACACATGGTTTGCAAAGTGTAGGGAGGAAAGTAATCCTAGGGCTATTTTGTAAAACCTCATTTTTGTTTTTAACACCCTTCAATGGCTACTTGAGCCTCCATAAGGCTAAACGCACTCTCCACCAGTTGTTGTTCCTCTGAGTAAGATGTAAACAATTACTAGATCTGGATATGCCTGAAAATAACTGACAAAAAGAACCAAACTAAGGACAAAGTTCTCCAAAATGTCCTTGTTTATATGTTTAGTAAACAGAGCTTCTAGGACTCCAATGGTTATAGATAATTCTTGTTGGATGTTTGAAAGGCTTTATCAGCAGTATAGAAATATATGTTCCCCTGTCAACTATAATCTTCCTGGGTTTCTGCTGGTGAGTTTTACTCTCTGTTGAGTTGGATGTCTTGAGGGGTAGATGTGGGCTTTGTCTGGTCTGACACAGGCATGGTGCTCTGGAAGATCTTTAGATCTGCATTAGAGCTTACAACCCCTTCTTGGGATGTTCCTACCTCTCCTTTCACATTCCTATCCCCCTCAGCTTTTAGCCCCTAAACAGAAATGCTGACACAGTCTCCAGCTGTAAGTGTCTGCTGTGAGGTAGGAGGGATTTGGAGACAGCTGTTGTCTAGGGAGAAGAATGGCTGGTCAGCACTGAAATTTCAGAGAGAGCTTGGTTTGCAGACCACAGATTCAGAGAGCTGCTGAATGATGTGTGAGGTGCAGTACTGACCCCTGTACCCCCTTTTTTAAATAGACCTCGGTTGTATGTGACTTCTGCTCACTCAGGTAGCACTGCATTACAACGTTGCATTTCTAACTTTTGCACTTAGCAAAAATTCCTGGCTTACAGGGAATGTGTTATAAGCACTTTTATTGTGAACACTTGGATTGAGAATACTTCTCTGTCAGCATGCAGGCTTTCAGTTCTGTTGAAGACACCTTTGACTTAAGGCACCAACCTTCCAGAGAGGCCTAAGACAGATACATATTGCTATTGTTTTCTGTGCAATCACTCAGAGAAGCTGTCCAAGAATGTAAGTCATTCACTTATGCATTCAGAGATGTGATAGAAAGTGAAATACTCAGTGTGGTTTGTAATTGTGTTTATATAAGTGCAGCCTCTTCCTGTGTCAGAACAGATTTTTGCAAACAAGAGGGCAATGATTCAGTTCCAGGGGAAGACTGACAAAATAAACCCCAGCTTCCACTGACCTGATGCAGTGCTGAACAGTGTTCTACCCTGGGAAAATATTTCCTGCTTCATTTTCATAAATATTTATGTAATTCCTTCTGGGAAACATGGCTTCTTCAGAAAACTGAACATGCTGCTCCCTGACATAAATTTAACTGTTTGTTTACACATGAGAGATTATGGGCATCTACCCAGCCTTAGATTTTTACATTCTTATCTCAGGCATTTCTGTCTCGTAGAGTTGTTCTTCAGTCTCCTCCTAGAAATCGAATCATGTCTTGAGCCATGGAGCTTAGTTCTGGCTCTGGAATTTGAACATCCCTGATGCTCTTTGGAGAGTTGTTATTTTGGGCTGCAGAAATAAGAACCAAATTTAATGTTCTGTCTGAAATCACAGTTCTGTCTTGCATAGTTATGCCCTTCCCATTCTGGTTTGAGGCTCCTTTCTTAAAAAAATAATCATGTAAGCAATTAAACAGAGGATTGCATGGCTAATGAAAGTATTTCTATTTAGAAGCAGACCTGTACACATGGCTGTGAACTGAAATAGCACTTGTGTGCAGTCTTTTGTGTTTGCTTTCTAAATTTATAATACAGACTAGTGGCAAAATTGTGCACAAGTTTCCCCAAGAGAACAGGTATAATCCCCACTGTGACAATCTGAAAAAGGTTGATTTTGCTCTCTTTAACATTTTTTAAGAGAACAGAAAAAACTCTGACATTGAAGCACAGATTGACAGAACCTTGTACAAAGCCTTGTATTAGAGCAAAGCTGAGCTTTGCTTTCCAGCACGATCACAACCATTCCATGAAGTGGTGAACTGTGTGGGGTGCTCTGGAAAAAGCCATGTGATGAGTAGCAGACATAGTCACAGGAGATGGTAGATGTTAAGATTGTGTCCAGGATAAAACACATAAATGAGTAAATGGTACCTAGGGGATGTGCGACCTATGGGTTTTATATGAAACATGTTTATCATGCAGAGCAATGACAAAACTTCAAAACACGAGCTCTGCCAGTCCTCCAGGATCTTAGTCCACTGGTCCTAGAATTCTAGCTGTTGTGCCTTGCATTACTCATTTAACCATATAGGCTATTATTATGCAGAACATCCAAATTTATAATTACTTAGTTTCTCTTTTTATTTCCTTTTCAGTTCAAACTCTGCTTCATATTTTCTAAGTAGAGCCACAGCCAAACAGCTTTTATGACTTTCTTCAGCATTTTGTAAAAGAAACACCAACAGACCAGGAGGCAGCTACATACCCCAGAAGATTTATGAGATCATCCAGCAAAAAGGAAAGGCAATGATGTGAGGAAGATGAGAGTGGGAGACACACTGAACAAGGAAGGGTCCACAGGAAACCAGAGAAAGCTTAAAGACCTGCCTCCTAGCTCATAGTCTCCTGGCCTTGGCCAGTGCCTGAACCCTGTTACTAAATGTGTCTCAAGGCATCTGCATTGCTCAGTGAACTCTGTCTTGCATCCTAAGTTGCTTCCCTGTTGCTTGGGGACTCACAGTTTGGGTAACATGTATCGTAATGTTGGTTTTATGTATGTGTGGGTGTCTTTTTGGGAAAGAAGGAAAATTTGAACCTCATTCTCCCACCTTTTTAGTAATTGCCTGCCAGACTGTTTGGTAGTGATGGGGAGGCAGGCTGATGGTGCTGGCTTATTTTCCACTTGACAGCATCACAAAACTAAGGGAAAAAACCCCTTTACTCAGTTTGTACTCAGAAAGTTGTTTGTTTTGTTGTGTTTGATTTGGGTTTTTCCTTTAACCTACTAATGTATTAGTCTTCTCACAACTTCAAATTTTGTGTAATTAAGGAAGACTTTAAAGTGATGGGGTTTTCCTCCTCAATTTTGATTATTGCTTTTGACCTGTAATTTGGAGACCGGAAGGCTGGATTCCCCTCCCATGTCATATGCACGCCTCTGAATTACACTGAATTACAGAATCACAGAATATGCTGGAAGGGACCCACAAGCATCATTGAGTCCAACTCCTGGTCCTGCACAGGACCATCCCCAAGAGTCACACCACATACCTGAGAGTATTGTCCAAATGCTTCTTGAACTCTGTCAGGCTTGGTGATGTGACCACTTCCTGGGGAGCCTGTTCCAGTGCCCAACCACCCTCTGGGTGAAGAACCTCTTTCTAATATCCAGCCTAAACCTGCCCTGACACCACTTCACGCCACTTCCTCAGGTTCTGTCATGTGTCACCACAGAGAAGAGATCAGTGCCTGCCCCTCCTCTTCCCCTCACGAGGAAGTTGTAACTGCAATGAGGTCTCTCCTCAGTCTCCTCTTCTCCAGGCTGAACAGACCAAGTGCCCTCAGCTGCTCCTCATACGGCTTCCTCTCACAGCCCTTCACCATCTTTGTTGCACTCCTTTGGATGCTCTCCAATAGCTTAGAATCTTTCTTATATTGCTGTGACCAAAACTTTACACAATATTCAAGGTGAGGCCACCCCAGTGCAGAGCAGAGCAGGACAATCCCCTCCCTTGACCAGTCTGATGATGCTTTGCCTGATGCCCCCCAGGACACGGTTGGCCCTCCTGACTGCCGGGGCACTGCTGACTCATATTCAACTTGCCACTGATCAGGACCCCCCAGGTACCTTTCCACGGCACCACTTTCCACCATCTCATTCCCCAGTCTGTACGTACATCCAGGGTTGCCCCATCCCAGGTGCAGAATCTGGCACTTTCCCTTGTTGAACTCCTTATGGTTGGTGATTGCCCAGTTCTTCGAATTGTGGATACTTGATTAGGTGTACAGTGTAGTGTCATTATGGCTGGTTTTTAATTTAATAGTTTAACATATAAATTACAGCACTAACACAGACTGGATAAAAGGACTGCAGTGACTTCTACCATTTGGAGTAATTCACATCACTTGGAACTACTGCTGAGCTACCTCTGGCAAATAAAAGAATGAGCTACAGGGCTGTTAAAAAGATTTCTGAATAGTAATGACATTGCCATTGGTGGGAACTATTGAGAACCACAGAGCTTTCAGCCTTTTTCCCCAGCACAGGATTCTCCTAAACTTCAGGTTTTTGTTTGTCTCATAGGAAGTGACACCTACTTAGATGCTTTGCTTTTTAATCTACCTGCTCTCTGGCTGCAGCAATGTAAGTATAGATATGGAAGAAAGGCTCATAAGTCAGCACAGTATTTCTCACCACCGAAAACTGGTGCATGGTTTTGTTTAATATGTGAAATGTTATGACAGCATTCAAAAGAATTTATGAGTTTACAAGTAAGATTAAATCAGTTCCAAAGACAGTGTCGGACTATGTCCAACACTGTCAATAAAATATTATATAGCACTGTTATTTCTCCAAGGATTCTGGAGAGTCCAACTTTACTCTCATGGGATTTGCTGTCACTTTCAGTCTAAGGAACAGGAAATTGCCACAATCTGCTAGGTGCTTGCAATTTGGTCATAGCAGCATGTGCTGGAGGAAACAGTAGATCCCAGAAGATTCTTGTCTTGTGCTGTGGAAAAAAAGGTCTTACCTCTTGGGAAGTTCAAAGCACTTCCTTAATTTCTTACCAACCAGAAGCAGTTAAGAATAAACCTGAGCTTATGAGCTGTCAGATTAATGGTAAGAGATTTCCTCTAATCTTAACTGGTCCTTGGCTTTATAGCACAGAAGAGATTTGCCATGCAAAGCATCCACAGTGCTGTGTCACACATCAGTTGTTCCCTTTCCAAAGAACATCAACCTAACCAAAAGAATAAAGGCTATGGAAAGGGCAGGCAGAGTGTGAATGCACAACCCCTCATTAAGAAACCTGATTGCTCTTCTCCTTCCTCTCCTCCTTTTTCTTTTCTGGTGCAACATATGTCTTTGATTCCTTGGCAATGAAAAGTACTTCACACAATGGAGGAGGCTGTTTGGCTGATATCAGAGGCAATTCCAGCTTCATGCTGTTGACACGGTCCATTAACTGTTGAATCTGTGCAGACTCCAGCCATGCTGTTGCCTCCACATTCCTGGGCTTGGATTCGTGCCCTTCCTGCCCACAGCCAGTGTGTGTGCACATGACTGCTTGGCTGCCCACCCCAGTACCCATGCAGTGCGATGGCATGGTGCCTGCTCACAGAAGTGGGAAGCCAATTTCACAAGGGTACAGATGAGCACTGGAAGTGGATTTAGACTGGCATCCTGATCAACACTGCCTATGCCAATTCCCCAGCTGGAACTGGCTCATTTTCAATGATAACTTTGAAAATAAAATAAAAAAAAATTAAGTTTAATCAATCTGAAAGTGAATTACTGTCATTTAGCACTAGGAAGAGATTCACATGTTTTCCTTTAAGGAGAATTTGTGGTGGGGAATGAGTCAGTAAGTGTGAGTCTTTCCTTTGTGCAGAGGAAATCGTGTCCCCTGGGATGTGATGACTGTACCTGCCCTCAGGCTGTGCCATACAGGGCTGGAGCAGGTTCAGTGAGTACCACTCCGTGGTGGGGAGGGTGATGGAGTTAGAAACTGAATGCTGAGCTGCCCTTTCTCAAGGACACAAAGGGCAAGAGCTGAGATTTATTGACTAGAGCCCCTCAACACCATGGCATTACAGCTTTATACCTCCAAAGATTTGCATCAACCAGCACTTAATAAATAGTAAGGAACAGGGACTCACAGTAATAGAGCAAGGAAACAAAGGAATCAAGCAACCTTAAAAAGTAAGCAGGGATGAGAAAATGAGAAGTTATGATTTATCTGTTTTTCTAATTACATGAGATTATAACCAAACTAGAAACATCTGCTGCTTTGATTTTGCTGCTCCTGGGATTCCTCAGTCCTTTCCTCCTAAGTGGAAGATTTCAAGTGAGCAGGAACTGGCCTGAAGAAATCCATAAATCTATATTCATTACTTAGGTTTTCTGCTTGTGCTGATTTAAAGATTTGGCTGTTTTCATTTTCTTTGGATTAGCTGAGCTCAAGGAAACTCTCCAAAGGAATGTGCCATTGGTTTCTTGTTTGTGGTTTTTTATGTGATGCAATGCATTAAAACTTCCATGCAGGCAGTCATTAATTGTCAAAACCAAAAATACCCCTAAACTCCTATCTGCAATTATCCATACTGTGATATATTTGGGACACATTATGGTTTCTGTCATTAAGAAGGCCTCCTTGTAATGCCCCATCATGGATAAAACCTAGTCACAAAAATTATGCACATGGACAAAATATAAAGTGAAATTATGGGTTTCTATACTGAAGTGGAACTACCGATGGTGGTCATGCCGGACATGAATGACACACAGAACAGAACTGTTAGTAAACAGAGGGAAAGCTATAAATATGCTTAAGATGAGACATCACACATTGTTTTAAGTGACAAACTCTGTTCTAAAAGAAAGAAGAAAGATCACAAATCTAGACAGACAGCACTGCTCAAAGTTATATAGCCGCATGATTCATTCCCCAAAGAAATCAATGTCAGAATGACATTTTTCTTCAGGCAGTACTGGCAACTGCCCGTAATTTGGGTAAACTTTCTCTGCCCTATAAAAACAAACCATCAAACCAAAAGGTAACCACTGAAACAGCTACCACTCAACCAAAAAAAAAAAAGTATTTTAAACAGAGCACGACATAAAACTGCATGAGTCAATCTACCGTAAACTTTCGGCAAATAGGATGTGTCATCGAGATCGACTTCGGTGTTTCCAATGAATATAGGTTTATACAGTAGGCTTTTTAGAAACAGACCTTGCTCCAAATAGTAATTCCCTGCCTTCAATAAACCCTGACTGTCTGCAACTAGTTATTTCTCCTGTCCTGATACAGACAGCCAAAATAACTGACTTGGAAACAGAAGCCTATGGAGCTAGATTAATTACAAGGATTACATATAGTATTCAGAGCTTTTAAAACCAGAAGGAATCATTATGATGATCCCAGATGGCTTCCTACTGTTGTGGTGGGGGGTGATGTGAGAGGCAGAGAAGGCCTTGACAGTAACTAAAATATCTCTGAGCTATCAACATGGTTTCCAGCACAAATCCAAAATGCAGGCTTCTGCTAGTTACTGTGAAGAAAATTACCTCTATCCCAGTCAAAACCAGCACACCTATTGCTGTGGTTCAACCCCAGACAGCAGCTGCTTGCTCACTCTCCCACCTGAAGGATTGAGGAAAGAATCAAAAAGTTAAAAGCCAGAAAACTTGCGGGTTGAGGTAAAGACAGTTTAATAAGGAAAGCAAAAGCCATGCAGACAACCAGAACAAAGCAAGGAATTAATTCACTGCTTCCTATGGGCAGGCAGGTATTCAGCCAGGAGAGCAGGGCCCCATCACACATAACAATGACTTGGGAAGACAAATGTCATCACTCTGAATGTCCCCCCACTTCTTTCTTCTTCTAAGCTTTATATCCTGAGTGTGATGTCATATGATCTGGAATCTGCCTTTGATCAGTTTGGGTCACCTGTCCTAGCTGTGTCTCCTCCCAGTCTCCCATGCACCCCCAATTTCCTTGGCCACTGTGGCAGTAAGAAAAGCAGAAGAGGCCTTGTCTCTGTGTAAGCCCTACTCAGCAATAACAAAAACATCTCTATATTTGTGCTATATATCTATAGCACAAATACAAAACAAAGCCCCATACTAGCCACTGTGAAGAAAGTTAACTCTACCTCATTTAAAACACGCAAGCTTATGTAACGTAAGCATTGGAATTTCACTGAATGATTACTGCTCAGAGTTGCTGGTGGTGATGGGAAGATGTGTCGTCTCTAACTACTTCAAGTGAGTGAAAACACACTACAACATTCTGGTGGCTAGTTGCCATTGTTTTGTAACATATTTAGTAAGTTGTATTTAATCTGTGTCCCTGTTTAAATGAACAATTATATTTGAAGTATTTACAACTTTCTCTCAATTTCAGGCCCAAATGCCAACGTGTTCTACATCCTATATCCTAAAAAATAATTTGTGACATGATCTTGAAGTGTTACACTTCTTACCAATGAAATTTTGCAGCCCACAAGAATACATGTGTCTTTTTTTGCTTCCACTGGACAGCGGTCCTGAGGCCCACTGTTTTAGCTCGTTGCAGCATATAGTGTTCTTGATAAATGCCACAGTTATTTAAGTTGGAGGCTTTAGTCTTATGTTTGTCTTTCATGTGGGGAGGTGACTTGCAATAAAACCTCAACGTTTTACCTGAATAACCTTTGAAATAAGACAGTCAGTTTGCTTGATAATATGAAGAGTCATCACTGCTTTATGCAGGGGAAGACAATTTGGTTTCCAGATCAACCAGTGCAGTGGTTAGAGAGAGAGCTAAGATGATCCTGTGTGAGTCAGTCTAGGTCCAGCAAGGCTAAAGAGTTTAGGCACAATGCCACAGTATTGCTTAAGCAGTTGTTCCCAAGAACAGTTCAGGTCCAGAAGTTGTGCCTGTATTTTTCCTTTGGCTATGGTATCTCATACCTTAAGGGTAGAGAGTTGATTCTATTAGATTTCCACAAAGCATTTGACTTTGTTATTACATGTGGGAGAAACAAATTTCACTATTAAATGAGAGTAACAAAGCCAGGTAGCTCTTTCAGACCCACCTTTTTACACCTGATAGGCATGTCACAAGGGTTTTTCCATTCCAGGTGACTGTTTTTCTCTTACTTTGGAAAGCAGAAAAAATAAAGGGTAAAATATGAGAAAGATAGTGAAATTGTGCAGAAAGGTTTCTCTGAAGACAATTCTGTATTTTTACCCAACAATACAACTTTTTGTTCATGACTACTTTCATTTTGGCATGGCTTATCAATCTGACATGGCTTCTTTGCTTCAGAAGTTTCAAATGTTTGCAAAAAGGAAAAATCACAGAGAAGGGTTATTAATTTAATATAGATGAACAGCTTATCTGTTATCAACATCCTAAAGAGGAAACAAGGTATAATCTATTTCACTACTACTGGCACAAGACTGCATATTGGATTACTCAGTGAATAATGCTGGAGAGCAGTAAAATGGGCCATCGTTCTTAGTATTTAGTCAAGTACACAGAATTTTTCTCATTTGACTTTATTTTTTTTAAGACAGAAAATCTAATAAAAGGTAAAACCATTTTAAATGTCAGATTGCAACTACAGAATATTTCTGAGCATCAGAAGACCAGAAATTTGGTACTGTTTCCTCAACTGAAAGATATGGGGTTTTTAAGTACTAGATGTATTTGGTCACCTAAGGGCTTTTCAGCTGTGATGGAAAATTCCTCATTACCTCATTAGAACAAGTACAGTTGGTGTCTGTTGGAGAATGTGATAAATGTTAGCAATAATTCAAAGAATCACCTAAAAATCGATTACTAATATGGGTTTATAGATACAAATGTTACAAATAATTATCTTCTATGCAACCTTACAAAGCTGGGCTGTGTCTTTCCTTAGCTTCCTGAGAAAATCTGCTATCATCTGCATCAGAGACTAAAAGTGCGTGATCTTGATAGTCACTTGGGAACTATCAGCATAACCTCTGTTTTTCTGTCCTTTATTTTTGTAGTGCTCACTGACTGGAAAAATGAATAAACATGTAACTGTAAACGGCCCTTCGGAAAATCCAGAACTTTCACAAAAGAGTCATGTGGACGATCACTTGTTCCCTGTGTCACAACTTTGTGGTGGTCTGGGAAGCAAAAAAGACCTTCCTCTGGCAACCCCCAAAGACGAATAAGTTAGAAAAATAGTTGTACTTGGGTATTTTGTTTCTTGACATCAAAGCTTTTTGAGAGAGAAATGTGCTATTGTGGGACATTATTCTTTTTTCTTCCTGTAATAGCTGCATCAGACACTCAGCATTTGCTTTGTGCATTTAAAATTTGGAATCATTCAGGAAGAAAACTGATTCAGATAAGAAACCTGCTGAGGGTTCCTCTCATCCTGTAGTCAGTGGTAGTACTTTTATTGGGATAATCTGGACCTGCAACATGCACCTCATATGTGGGTGTGCACTGGAGGAAAGGAAGAAATTTTCCTCCAACCTGTGGGATGCTGTAGCTTATATTGCTTTAATTGCCAGGGTGGCACTTGGCC